GATAAATATAGGAGTCATAGATGTTATTTAAACCTATAGCACTGTAAATCACCTTGGACAGTGCTGTTATAGAGTGAGTTGTGGCCCATGGGTCATGGAATCAATTTAGTGAGTACTAACTGCATTAAACACACACACACACACACACACACACACACACACACACACACACACACACACACACGGAGGAGAAGAAAGAAAAAGCAGAGTAAACTATCATATGTATCTCCTGTGGTAGGGTATCTCTTCATGATTCTTTTGTTTCAGTTGCATTCAGTGTATAATAACATATTAGAAAGTTGATTTCTTATTGTGTGGCATGATCAAAAATTTGAAAGCCAGTAGTCAAAGGAGTGAGTATAAGTTAAGAATAGGGCAAAGCACTGAGCTACAGGTCACTAAGAGGTCTGAGGAGAATCCAATAAAGGAAACTGGAAAGGAACTACCAAAAAACATAATCCAGTGCTGAGAATTATTAAGTAACTCTACCTTTAGGATGGAGGGTTTTTTTAATCAAGGACAATTGCTTAGAATAACATATTTCTGATGATTTTCACTTTGGGGAAATTGTTGCTGCAATAAAATTGCTTCAAAAATGGTTCAATTTATGAAGTTCATGAAGTAGTGCTATTTATATTAGAAAAATACCTGTTCCTTAATGTTGTCAAATAAAATCCCTTTATAGAATCCATTAATGCTTTTGGATTGATATACAGTTCTTATCCATGTAATGAAAGTAGAATGTACTTTTAAGGATTGAGTAATGTATAAAAGCTCTGTGTGCTGAGCACATAGTTGGTGGACAATAAAATGTAGGTAATATTATTTAGAATTGTATTCTTTGTTCATTTAACATTTATTAAGTTCTTATCAAATTCCAGGCACAGTAATAATTTCTTGTTTAAAAACTAATCAGCTGGTCAATATTTTGTTGCAGTTATGTATTTTTGGTCTTTATTATATTAATATATAACTTACCTGTTATATAATATTTAGTTGCCATAGATCCAGACTTGAATTTTGAGCACAAAAGTTTCAAGCTGTTTTGCAGCTTCTGGAGAAGTATGCTTTTCCCCCCCAATGTTTATTGTTTTTTTTTCTTACTCTCTCTCTCTATGTATGTGTGTATATATACACACACACATACACATATGCACAGAGTAAAGTAGTAAAATGGTTTCAGATAAGAAAACACCTATAAAATTCACTGCCCCTTTCATAGGGGAAAATTTTATCAACACCAAGATATATTAATTAGAATGAGAATGCAAAAATGTCTGAATTCCTAAAATATTAAACCTGTGACTACTTCATTTGTTTGTAAATATCTTTAAAGTAATGATACCAAGTTATGATACCAAGGCTCAAATATTTTCTTTTTACCTTTTATTCCCTCTGCAACATTCCCAAGCAAACTGGCCTGTCCGGGGAAGAGATGCACACTGCATCAGCTCTGTTCAGCATCTCAAGTTTGTGGTTTTGTCTGCTGCTTTCTCACTCCATCTCAGGAGTAGTTGCAGTGTGGCACCTGTCAAAGCTGAGAAAGAGAAAATGACAGACACTGCTTCTGTGCTTGGCAGGAATGTAATACGGAGTAACAGGAGCTATGCCCCAAGCCTTGTATTGGAGACCCAAAAGGTGATTCTACAGTATCTACCTTTTTAAAGCTCATGACATAAAAGTAATGAGATGAGGAATTCTCTAGTTAGAAATGGAGGAAAAAAGAAAAAAAAGAAGGATTTCTTTTCCCTATGGTATCTGCAAACTTTAAGCAAAAACTGTGTTCTACTTTCTTAAAAAACTAAAGACACAGTACAAGACAAAAACATATATCAGATTTTTACAGGTTTGCTAATACTGAATATTTATTTCAGAAATTACATTAGTACTTAATGTGGAGAAATTGCCCAGGGAGAGTATTTTTTTTTAACTCCAAGATCATTAAGTAACATTTTTAATCTCCAGGGTGGAGAGGGAAGCCCACCAACATCTATATTAAAAAATAAATGAATTATGATAAGAATCAACAGCACTTTGCATTTTCTCTCAGGCATCTCATTAATTTTTAGATATCTCGATGGGCAGGTTATTGCTGTTCTGGTTTGTTGACATTTAGCACTTATTAAATGCTCACAGTGAAAAAAAGTTTGTAGAATGTGTAAAAGTTAATCCTCAAGATTCTTACGTGCTTCAGGAAATGGCAAATATACATGTACTCTAATTTTAAAAAATGTTTCCACATACACGAAATCAAAGGCTGTAAGATAGTATGACAGTATGACATTGTTTTTAGTTTTTAGGTTTTTTTTTAAGTGTTAGCAGGACTAGACTCTGAGTACTATTTCCTAGACAAATGAGGAACTTGATTATGTTTTCTTTCAAATCTACTTCTTAGGGAAGTAAGTGGAGTTTCTTTATAGTTTCCCACTGCTAGCAAAGGAAATTAAGAGGATTGGTAAATTAATCAGCAATAGAATTATAGGGGCAAACTCTCCAAAGAGACTACCAGTTTTCTACATAATGTTGATTTCTTTTGCCTGTGAACTTTAGCAAACACTCTTTAATATTTTGTTTAATCTTTTGTTTTCCAATCAGTTCTAGGTGGGAAAAAAAAATCCAAAAGATAATTAACTTAGCTCAGGGAGAAAACGGTTTACATGGGTTAAAGAATTGTGGCTTTTAATTACATGGAATAATTTTCCTCTGGATAATCTTTTAAAGAAGTAACAAATCATAGTGCAGATCTGTTATGTTTTAAGGAAAGACATATAATATAAAACACTCATTATCAAGAGGTTTTCTAAGGCAGTACTTTACTAATTATATCCCTTTGTTATAATGGGTTATTAGCCCTTTAACAAAAAAGTTGAGGACCAAAATTAAAGAGTTCTTGACTATTTTGCTTTTGACGTTTTAAAAAAAAAATCTAAGGAATTTAGAATATAAAGGAAATTTGGTAAGTTGAAGTTTCCTAAAATTTAGGGTACACCAATATTTCAAATATACTTAAAAGAGTTGCGTGTGTACTTTTTAAAGTCTTTTAAAATATTTTTAAAAATAATTTTAAATATTTTTTCCTTTAATATACCATTATATGGTAAATGCTTTTAAAGGGTGCCATCTAGTGTCAGTTCTGGAATTGTGATTTATGGATTAGAACATGGGGAGTTTTAGACCCA